GGACTTGGGAGGGACTGTGGGTCTCCTGCTCTAAGATGCAGAGGTGCGTGTATCGTGTGTTTTATGCTGCTTCCAGCCTCGTTTTCATAAACGCCCAGGCACGAGGCCCCCCCACCTCTATCACCGTTATGGCAAGAATGCATCCTATTGTCATACCCGCCGTTCTCGACAGTACTTATACCCTCCCAGTGCCTCAGTGCATATATGTGTCCGACTCTTGCCTTCACAGCTTCCAGAATGTATCCCATCACATACAATTGACAGTTGGTGCTTCCCAGTGCTCGAATCTGATTCAGACTATCTATCCTGCATGAGTGCATGAACTTGAACATCGTTGTTTTCGTGTCGAGCAGCTACTCCAGCACATCACCATGTCAGGCTAAAGTGTCATATTTATGCATAACTACGGCTGATTAGAGACAGCCTGGTTATGCATGGTTAATTATGCTTATCCCTCGATGGCCTGCCTTTACTATGATGATCGAACTTTCAAAGCGTGGATGGAAACGGGGGGTACTCAATTGACATCAGTGATGTGTATTCTGTGTTCCAGGCACTTCTTCTCCACGAGTTCTACAAAGCCTGCGCTGACAGCACTGTATCCTCAGAATAAAAAGACGCGCTGTTGGATGGAGGTGTCTTTCAACTCTTTGTTCTCATTATGGATCGGTTTGATTCCCTGGCTTCGATATCGAGAACCTTCTACATTTTCCTCGGCCATCAGCGCAGCTTCTCGGTGATTTGTGCCTGGACTAAGTCCAAAGTTGGTGCTGTCTCAGGCCGAATTCTGGCGAAAGCTCTAATAAATCTGCTTGCAGTTGTGCAGAAAGGTGCAGAAAGGTGATTTGAACTAGCGCAGGGCATCTCCCGTTCCACTCATTTCTCTCTTGCATAAGATATCATATTGTGAACATGCGATTCCTCAAATACGATGAAGTGCACAGATGCTGGTAATATATACATCGGGAACGTTCAGGGAACAATCACTGAACGAACATGAGAAGCTCGAGTTAAAATCTCCTGCAGAGCACCTTTCACATTGTCCATGTTCCTCATATCAACTTCGTTGACCTCCTTCGGCCCCTCTAGCAGCCCACTATCAATTTTCTTCGCAAGGTCGTCCAGTACCTCCTTGACCTCCAATGGGCCCAGAATACTCGACTTCATGCCCTTTAACGTAAGGGCCTTTGTATAAAATGACCGCAGGTTGACGGGGAACAGTCCGTCCTTTGCATGGACAGCCATGACAACGACACGACCGGTACCGTTTGCTGTCATCGTGAAAATCGCGTCGTTGAATGGCTGGTCGTAGCCGGCGCAGTCTAGCAAAAACGTCAATTTTATTCTGCAGTCCAGCCTTGGCGATGGCCTCGCGGATGGCGTTTTTAGAGCCTAGTTCGATGGGCGTGACGTATGATGGGGGAGTCACTTTGGCGAGCGAGGTGTACGTCCCGAATATGCGTGCCCCGCGTTCTTTGCAGAGTTGTGCTGCTGCGGAGCCAATGCCTCCTCGAGCACCTAGAGGATTGCAATTAGGGATAATAAATAGAGTACATCGATTGATTAGCATGTACCAATGATAATAACATTGTCTCCCTCCTTGACGTTCGCAAGAGTGTCGACTGTAATCCAGGCACATAACCACGGTAGGGTCATGCTACCAGCTCTGGAATGGTCGAGGATGCTGGCTTCCGGCTAATGCAGCGATAGGGATGGCAACGTATCTGAAGAGCCATCCGTCTGAAAAACAAGAGACAAATGCATGTAAAATACGCACTGAGAAAATGTTCCGTCCGAAGTGAAGCCTCTATCGCTTCCTGTTCCCCACACCTCTGCTCCAATCCACTCTTGACTGAGGCGCCGGATGCGTCCAGCGCTTCAACGACTTCCCCGGAGAAATCTCTGCCAGGAATGCGCGGGGTGGTCACAAATGGAAGAGTGCCTATAATGCCTGCAGCATCGGACTATGATGGGTGAGAATACTACTATTACAGCATGATATGACCCAGGCCGTAGGCTTACCCCGTTGATACCGGCAGCTCTGACGCGTACGAGAGCCTCGCCAGGACGTAATATGGGTTTGTCGATGTTAACTAGAGACAACTCATCGAAGGACCCAGTTTTTCGAACTTGAGAGCTTGCATGGTGATTTGACGACTGAACGTAGATGTTGAACAAAAAATTATTAAACTAGTACAGGCAAGTTGCAACAAACTTACTGGAGGCAATAACCAATACGCTTGACTCGAAAGACACGGAGGGATTAATGAAACGGGAGATCATACAGCTCGTGAACGTTTGAACCACCGGACCTGATATAACGTTGACAAGTCATCGCAACGATGACATCGCATCCGATGACATGGCAAACTAGAGCTCACAGCTACTGAACTAACATGCAAATGCGTTAGGTTGCGTTTCAACACACCGCTTTGCCACATTTAATGCCAAAATTTGATGCTGTCACGGTTACTTAAGTCTTAGAGCATCTCTCGGCTCGGTGCAACGAACTATACTAGTACTAAGAGACCGGAAATTAGTTCGGACCGGCCTGGCTGGCTCGAACTGTGGTAAACTAGTAGTTTGGGAGAAAGTGTAACATGGCCGTATATGATACAGACCTCAGTGTCGTGTTATGTGTACAAGTTTGAAGCATGTGCATGGTCACTCAGTGGTGCAAGTCAAAGTTGCACCACAATTGAGTTTTAAATTGCTACTGTCATTCCCTGTAATATTTCAACGGTTCCTAAAAAAGTTCATAAGCCATTGGGGTCAACGTGCGTCGAAAAAATTCAGGCATATGCAGACTCGGAGTACCTAGAAATGATGTTTTGTACAAGAATATAACTTTTCTTGGATGTTGTACTAGCTGCGAGGTGGGAGCAATGAATTCGGGATGAGGTACTGTGAGCCGAATCTCCGACAAATAAGGTTTGAAACACGGCCGGCTGCAACGGCGGACTGACGATGAAGTTCACAACTAGTACTTTGGATAGGGGTCAATGTCACTCGTAACTTACCATGCATCAGTAAACCCCAGTTTTCTCCACAGACATAACATTTCCGACAGTTTCCCACAGTAACCCACAGCGCCCCACAGCGGCACAGAGCTCACAGTAGATTTCTCCCAGCATCGACATTTTCTGATACTAGTTCCTCACAGCAACCCACAGAGGGACAGAGCTCACAGGGTGTACAGCTGCTTACAGTGTTTGTCAGTAAAATACTAGTACTAGTCACCATTTCCATTTCTCAAGCGCTACTACTAGTATGTAGTTTGAGCTAGAGCTATACTTAGAAAATTAAAACAATTTGAAGCACATCCGCCAAGGTCAAGACATAAACAAAATTTCATGGCCGAATCATATTTAGTGAGAGTACTACTGCCAAATACAATGTTTCTATTTGATACAAATCAAAAGAAGGTACTTGTCATCAGTCCAACTGGATGGCGACCTGACGGCAGGATGCGAATGAGTCTATGATACGAAGGTGTTAGTTGGTAGTACTATGTAAATGATAGGTGTACTTACCGTGAAAATTGTGTGGCGCTGGGTGGTGAGAAAGACCATGTTTCCTGAATGTGATGCGCATATGACCCAATCCTACATCCGCCTTGTCGAGCTTGCGCTTAGAGATGGCGGACTTGTGTTTTGAAAGAGACGTCATGACTTCATGTTCTCGGACAATGCAATCGGCAAGTGTTTTCTCTGCATCGAATACATCACGTCGGGCCCTTGCAAGGTCCATGATGAGGTTGGCTTCAAGATCATCAACATCGTTGATGGTCTGTGGGCATGTGAACGAGCATTGCCTAGTAAGATATCACAGTCACTTACCATTGAGCCAATAGCGTCGACCACATCGTACAAATCTGCGATACCACTGCCAGAGTCACCCAGGACATAGTTGGCTTGCCACTTATTGCATTGCGGGCGCATACGTGACGCCGATGATACGTCACTATCACTAGAGACATTCAGATTGAGATGTATTGGTGTGTGGCTTGACTCGGACATGAGGGACTGAAAAACTAATATGTTCGGATTCTGGAATCAATACCTTTACAGTTGAACGTCTCAGAATTCTCACGTGCACGCTATGTCGTCATTCCAGTGTCCTTCATGCGGCAAAGGCGGTTTCAAGAACGACGTTGCTGTTGCTCGTCACATGAGCCAACCTCGTTCTGGGTGCAGTACGTGGCTGCAGGATTTGGCATGCTTTCGCCCCGAGTCTGATGACTCTCGTATGGACTCGGATGATGAACCAAATATTTCCATGGATATGGACGATGGACCGAATATACCCGACATCAAGTCTGGTGGTTTTGGGATTGGGATGAGATGTCTCGAGGGAGTACTGGTGGTAGTGAGAGCCAGGGAATGCCAACTCACAACTCGGAAGTTATCGACTCATATCCTGACTGCGCTCAAACATACGGCAAGGGCTACACGTTCCTCGATCTATTCAATTCCGACAATAACAGCAAACACCGTGCAATGAATCCGTATTACCCATTCAGCAGCCGGAAAGACTGGGAAGTTGGGTCGTGGCTCCTTCGCTCAGGATTGAGCATGGGGAAGATAGACAGTTTTCTTTCACTCGAGATGGTGAGTAACAAATTCGTCGATAATATTTACAATTTTTCTAAGTGATTCAGATAAAGACCCTTCCGTTGTCATTCCTTTTGGCCAAGGAACTTCGCAGTAGAGCGGAAATGTTGCCCAGCGGTCCGCGCTGGATGTCTCAAATCATACCTACAAAATTTCCTACGAAATTGCCCGTTGTGTTGTATTGGCGCGATCCCCTGGATTGTATTTCAAGCCTTCTCAACCATCCTGCCTTTCATGATCAGCTGGACTTTACGCCTCACAGGGTGTATACCACTGCACAGAGGTTGTGTCGCGTGTTCTCGGAATGGGCGACAGGTGATGACGCGTGGAATATGCAGGTACGCATAGTATCATTTGTGCGAGTTGTCATACTTATCAGTTTTCGGACAGTCAGCCCTACCAAAAGGTGCAACACTCCTTGGGACCATCTTATCATCTGACAAGACGAATGTATCGACCATGACGGGCGACAGAGTTGCACATCCCCTTCTCGTTAGCCTTGCTAACATACGCATGTCTACCCGACTCAAATCGTCTTCGAATGCCTTTGTCCTTACTGCTCTACTCCCCGTCCCAAAATTCATCTACAAGAAGAAACACATGCGAGGTGTACTTGAGGATCGCCTCATTCACGAATGCTTGGATATAGTTCTACGTCCACTCAAGGTAGCCGCCCACGAAGGGGTCATGCTGTCAGATCCTATCGGACACAGTCGCTACTGTTTCACACCGCTCGCAAGCTATATTGTTGACACCCCGGAGGCCATGATGCTGGCTGCTGTTGGTGGGAAAACCTCTCCAGTTACTATGGCCATGTATAAACAGTTTGGAGATTCTTTCCGTCACGAACCTCGCACACGAGCAACTACACTCTCCCAGCTGGCTACTGCACGGAGTAAGTTGATCCCGATGACATCGAGGCTTTTTCCGTGAGGCCCAGAAGTTTCGTCTGAATGGCGTCAACACACCATTCTGGCTAGATTGGCCCCTCAGTGATCCATCACACTTCCTTACTCCCGAGTTTCTTCACCTCATCCATCGCGAGTTCTACGACCACGATGTAAAGTGGCTCATTTGCGCAGTCGGTGACACAGATATCGATTTTCAGTTCTCTGTGTTGCAGGTCATCACTGGGGTTCCGTCATTTTCATGGCGGGATTTCAAAACTTAAACAGTTACAGGACGCGCTCAACGCGACATCCAGCGCTCATTGTCGCGGTCAGCGCGGACGCAGTACCTAGCACCATGATGGCTGCCGTACAAGCTCTCATGGACTTTCGGTACCCCTCGTACAGTCACCCGTAATCGATGACATCCAACTCACCTGTATTTCCACGGCCCTTGAAGAATTTCACGCCAACAAAGATGCAATTATAGATGGCGGATTTCGTCGTGGGTCAGCGTGGTGGAGTCATTGAGAACTGGTACATACCAAAGCTGGAGCTCATGCAGTCCATAGTTCCGAGCATAAGGAACACTGGAGTTTCTCTGCAATGGACCGCCGACACCACTGAACATGCGCACATAACGGAAAATCAAGGATCCTGCTCGCTCCAGCAACAACAACAACTACGATCCCCAGATATGTCGCCATCTTGACCGTACCGATAAGTGCCGCCGCTTTGACCTCGCTATGAGTCTGCTTAACAATATGGCAGACTCGAAGCGGCAGGGGTTCAGATGACGTTGGCGATGTCAATGACAACGTTGATCTCGATGCAGACGACGATCACGACGATGGCGATGTTGATTTTGACGCAGATGTCGATCATGATATCCCACACCTTCTAGCGATGAACAAATACCCTGGGCATTCACGTCCGACCACTAATTACTTCGAAATTGCCAAGGTCCTTCAGCACAGGGAAGCGGGAACAGTCCCTGTGCCATTTGCGCTCGTTCGTTATTGAACGCACAGCGTTCCACCTCGCCTACGACCCATCCATCAGAAATATATCTGTTGACGATGCTGCCATTAAGTTTGGCCTCCCGACTTATGACCAGCCATTGCCGACTTTCTTCGTCGTGAGGATACTCACGGGAGGGATCACATCCATACTATTGGGGGGGCTAGAAGAGCTGGACCCACTACTTCCACTTCCCTTCGACAAACTACAAGTCTGGTTTAAGCTTCGGCTCCAGGACACCGATTTTCATGATATCAGCATCATACGGCCTGCACAGACCCTCAACTGCGCACCCCCTTCTGATCCCTGGACCTCTGGCCGGTATGACACAGCCATCATCAATAACGAGGCGAGATGTGTATGGCCCACAGATGGTCTTCACGGTATGTTATTCTTACATTGTACTGAATATTTACTTATTGTCAAGTCGTAGGTCATACTATTGGTCAGATCAGGCTTCTCATGCGTCCTGTTTGGAAAGAGTGGCACAAATTGGTCATGGAAGGACCGCTTTCTGGTATATGTACATCGCTTTGACATTGTTCCCCAAAGCTCCGGTACAATGATCGTGAGCCAAGTACGCAGCTCCACTTGCTCAACACGAGCGAAGTGTTCAAATGGTACTCGGGTGGGTGACATCGTGCCTGTGACACCGCTCAGAGCACTTGTCAACCTCGTCCCTCGCTTCGGTGCAAGTGCGGACAACCGCCTCACCCCATATAATAGCATGGAACATGCTTCGCAGTTTTGCTCAACAAGTATTGGGACAAGAACTCATATTTTCCTCTTTCCATGTAACTTTGACGTAGTCACCCTTTTTTATGCAATGCTCGCGTCAGTTGTGTATCTAGCCAATGGTTATTCTAGTCTATCTTATTCTTAGATCATTGGTCCAATCTTTGATGGCGCTGTGAGGCGCTATGTGGCGTGATAAGCTAGCGTTTGTCTCACTATTGTCACATACAAAATGGCTTGTTTTTTCAGGACCGTTGACAACGGAATCAAATTGTCATCACTTGTGTCTATCCCCGATGTCACTGACGTCCCTGCTATGAACAAGATCACGTCCAACGAGCTTAATTGGCTGGTCACTCACGAGGATACACCAAAGGCCTCACAACCGATACTAGGACACTTACTCACCCAAATCTTCCAGTCTTTCACAATTCCTCTTCCCGATGTGTCCAACCTTAAAATACCTTTTGGAAAAATCCTTCATCACAACCAGTGCATCAACGAAAAGTTTAGCAGTACATCACCAGATACCCTAGTGCCGCTGTATGACACTGAAGCGAAGACTTGGAACTGGGCTCTTCCAGTTGACCCCCCAGAAAATGGTAGTACTCCAGCTGGGGTTGACTCAGGGTCAGACTCGGAGGACAACGCCACACAGGAAACAACTCATGAAGAAAATTTTGCAGCGTTTCTCAATGCTTTTGCTAGTTGCTTGTCACGGTCGTGGTCCGAACTTGTAGCAATGCACTTTGCAACCGGCACATGGAGTGTGGCCAATGCACAGAAGGCATTGCCTGGCAGCGCTATCAAGCACAAGCCAGATATTGTCCTATCTGACGATATATCTGCCAAGTGGGGAAACATCAGGGTATCAGCAGAACTCACGCACAGTCGATACCAGCCTGCGATGCGACTCGGGAAGGCCGCGGATACCCATGCCTATATTATGATGAGTGAACAGCCCTGGAGGTGCTTCGCTCTCATATTATCATTCACAAATAAATATCGCCACCTTAGGGTCTTGATGTATGACCACTCAGGTGGTGCTGTATCCCCTCGCTTCGATATTTACACGCAACCCAACGCATTTCTACACATCATCGCTGCTATCATGTTTGGGAGTTTAGAGTGCGTCGGTTATGACACAACAGTTTCCTTCTCGAGGATTGTTTCACCACCCCCGATCCAAAGATATCCACGGCTATCGTCCCATCAGAAATACTCCTGCCCGACAGAGTAGTACAACAGACCATGCTGTTACCACATCGAGCTCTGATTCTCTTCCAAATCCTGATGTATCATCCGGCGAAGCTCTTGAATCGGTCGTCTCCGATGATTCTGATGACTCTGATGACTCTGATGACTCTGATGAGTCCTCTAGTGATTCTGCTCACGACTCAACTGAAGAGAGTCCGAGCGCCTTGCATGACTCGATGGATGAAGAGAATTCCTCCCCCCCTCAACCCACTGCAACCCGCAGCGCTCCCCTTCTTAGCCTCATATCGCAAATACCCCAGGCTGAGATGACCGAGAGCATCTATTCCGTCACCCCTCTCCCTTCCCAATTCCCTTATTCTACTCAATCACCCGAACCTTGCGGCAAGATTCGTGTAGGGGAGAAAATCTACACCATAAAGAGGATTCTTTTTGCGACCCGAGGCCTCGTTGGTCGCGGAAACCGTTTGCTATTTAGTCACCTTGGACGATGAAGACTACATCATCAAAGATCATTGGGTTCTGGGCAAGGACGATAATGTAGTCCTGAACGAGATCAAGATGCTGGAGTTAATGGACAATGTCCCTGGCGTTCCAAGGCTGGTGGATTATTGGGTTGTTGAGCGGTCAGATGGTGAGCCCGACATTACCCGCAAATATCGGCACAAGGAACGCCGGAGTACCAGAGGCACCAGTCGTACTCATGTGCGTCTTGTCTTGAAGCCATGTGGTCGCCCCCTTCACATGTTCCGAACGCTTAAGGAGTTCGTGCGAGCACTAAGAGATATCGTTAAGAGTAAGCATCTAGTTCGTGGTACTGTCATATACCATATATCCGGTTACAGATCCGATGATCTGGATCTCAGATCCGATCCAGATCCGATGAACATATCCGTCGTCCGGTCCACAGATCCGCTTTGATTCTTATTTCATTTCCTGTTCATATAACTCTAACTATCGTTCATCTCCTTTCGGTATTCCTGTACACCGGTATACCGGTTATCCTTTACTTCCGCTTTGCTTACTGATCCGCTACACTTACGAATCCGCTTTTACTTGTACTTCATTCCCGGTTCATGATTCGTGATCCATCCAACTTACCAATACGCTCCACTTAGACTTTGCTTATTGATCATTCCGTTAGCTATCCGTAGTATATAAACCTTTGTATATGCGCTGTAGTAGATCAGTTCGAATATCATCTTAGATTGCACTCATTCCGTCTGGACTCTGAGTCCCTCCGTTATCCATCCGGACTTGAGTACGCTACTCTTGTCTACTCCGAGACTTAGGATAGATTCCTATAGTCTACATATCCGCCTCTGTCTTCGGACAGTCCTCACCCGTTAGTTTCTAGTCCGGATCCGATCCGGATTGGCCGTTACTCTATATACGCGATACTTTAGCTCTCTGAAATAAGGGGCAAGACTCGGGAAAGGGGCACAGCGCACGAGCTGAGGCCGAAGCCCTTCGGATCCGATACTACTTGAGTACGGTCTTAACAGTATATTCGAACTCATACCTTTCCGAGTTACTTAACATCTATCATGCCTCCTACCAAGACACAAACAACTCTGCACGCGGTCGGACTAACCTCCCTCCGTCGTGATCCGACACCTATAGTCAACACCTTCACCAGTTTCTCTCAGCGCCGTGTTAGCGCCCACGGAACCGCTCAAACCATATCCGAACTCCTTAATCGTCGACACCCGGAAACCCCAACACGCACTCCTGCCGTAGGACCTCCGGACGATGATGATCCCGATGATGGTGATGATGATTTCCCTGGTAATCCACCCGATGATAACGGTGGTGATCCGGATGATGATCCGGATGTTGAGGATGATGAAAATGACGGTCTAAACCCACAAGACCGCGTTATGCTTCGACTCTCAGAAGCCATCGATAACCTTGCTCGCAATAATCGTCGCGCGCCCTGCATCCGAAGATTCTAGAGTCAAGGTCCGAGAACCGGATACCTTCGACGGATCCGAACCACGGAAGCTCCGTGCGTTCTTTGTCCAGTGTGAGCTTAACTTCCAGAGCAAGCCTAAGGCTTTCCGTACCGGAAGGGCC